CAGTGCTCTACTTTGGGGATCTTTTTTGAGGCTGGAGGTCCGTGAGGACGTCCAGCATCAAATAAATGTGATTTACTCTGTGTAAATCGTAGAAGCGTCTCTAGTGGCTGTTAGGGAGACAGCCACTAGAGGCTGGATTAACCCTGCAGTGTAAACCTAGCAGTTTCTCTGAAACTGCTAGGTTTACAACTGCAGGGTTAAAACTAGGGGGGCCTGGCACCCAGACCACTTCATTGAGCTGAAGTGGTCTGGGAACCTATAGTGGTCCTTTAACAACTTGTCTGTCTAGCTGGCTTCAGTATTTTAAGTGTAAACGTAGCCTGTCCATTATTCACAGTGCACTGTTGTTTTAACAATAAAGTAAGTTTGTTTTCTTCCTTATTGGATCCCATGATGAAGCAACCAGGGGTCAGTGTTCTAGAAGCAATTCTATGTGTAATTTTGCAAATTTAATACCAACGACTATTATTAAATTAAGTAAAAATAATATTTCACACTAGTCAGAGTTTTAGGACCGTTTTTTAAAACAAATCTATCAATAAAAGCCAGGATCACGTCCACTAATAACTTTCCACTTTTATCTAGGGAACTTGGAAAAGGATTTTTGTCAAGAAAGATACATTTTCTATTTAGAACAGGACTGTTATTTCCAGTGACGTGACAAGTCCATGCTCATTGAACCTATTAAACCCTATTACAGTGTTTACTGGGGTGAAAAATGCAGCATAAGCATTTAAAAAAAAAAAAAAAAAGGTACCTTCCATGTTGCAGCATCTTTGTCACTCTTTAATGCCTCTGACATCTAACAGAGAAATGCTATACATGCACAGGCATTTTCTCCAGCAGTGTGGTATGCATGCATAAAAAACTGCAAGTATTAACCCCTTAAGGACGGAGCCAAATGTACACGTTGTGAACAAAACAAAATGTAAACAAAACCTGGCATTTGCGCTACATGTCTGTCCAACCGTAATTCACCTCTTTCATATTAAATGCACCCATCCTTATTATATATCATTTTATTCAGGGGAAACAGGGCTTTTATTTAATATCAAATATTTAGCTATGAAACATAATTTAATATGAAAAAATGGGAGAAAATAAGATTTTTTTAAAAAATTTTAGTTCTACATGACATTTTAACTGTCAATGTCATAATACTGTTTGCTTTTACTGCAATAAAATACACATATTTGTATTCAGCAAAGTCTCACGTGTAAGACAGTACCACACATTACATTTGAAATTGAAATTCGCCAGATTGGTTACGTTGCCTTGGAGACTGTATAGTAGTCCAGGAATTAAATTTACACCCATAATGGCATTCCATTTGCAATAGTAGGCATCCCAAGGTATTGCAAATGGGGTACGTCCAGTCTTTTTTAGTAGCCATTTGGTCACAAACACTGGCCAAAGTTAGCGTTAGTATTTGTTTGTGTAGGAAAAATGCAAAAAACGCCAGTTTTTGTGACTAAGTGGCTACTAAAAAAGACTGAACATACCCCATTTGCAATACCTTGGGTTGTCTACTATTGCAAATGGTATTCCATCATAGGGGTAATTTTCATTCTTGGGCTACCATAGGGTCTCAAAGGCAACGTAACCAATCTGGCGAATTTTAATGTGAAAAAAATGAAACACAAGCCTTATATTTGACACTGTAACTTTTGAAAACACCATAAAACCTGTACATGAGGGGTACTGTTGTACTCGGGAGACTTCGCTGAACACAAATATTTGTATTTCAAAACAGTAAAAAGTATCGCAGCAATAATATGCCGTTTGTGCGTGAAAAATGCAAAAATCGTCACTTTTACTGGCGATTTCATCGTTGTAATACATTTTACTGTTTTGAAACACTAATATTTATGTTCAGCAAAGTCTCCCGAGTAAAACAGGACCCCCCATGTACAGGTTTTATGGTGTCTTGGAAAGTTATAGGATAAATATAGTGATTGCAAATTAAATTCCCTTTACTTTCGGCACGGGTTGTCAGGCAGGTCCCGCTAATTGTAATTAATTAAGATACCTAATTATGTAAAAATATTACATAAATATATATGTAGAATATATATACGTATGTATATATATATATATGTGTATATATATATATATTTTAAATATTTTTATTTATATATAGGTATATATATAGTGATATATACGTATATTTTTATGTATATAGATATATATATATATTATTTTGTTCTACGTGTATTTTGATATAAATATATATATATATTAATATCACAATACAGTAAGAAAGAAATAACTCACATCTATATATTTTTTTATTATTTATTTTTAATTATTTTTTTAATTTAATTTTTTAACTTATTTACATTTTTTTTATATTATATATAAATATATATATAACAATAATTATATATATATATAATCAGTATCAGTCTACGTGTAATGTGATATTAATATATATATATATATAATTATAAATATATTAATAGTAAAATACACCTAGACAGTGTATGAGTGTGTATGTATATATATATATATATATATATACTTAGATCATATATATATAATTTGTTTTGCACTTTTTTTTACACTTTTAATTTTAATTTATTTTATTTCAAGCCAGCAGGGGGACTACCTGTCATTACAGGCAGTTCCCCTGCTGGCAATGCAGCAGCCAGCAATCCCGGCCATGTGATTGTGAGGTCCTTGCAAGGACCTCACTCTCACATGGCCGGGGGTGGCTGCAGGAGGCTGGATCTGCCGCGGGGGGCTCCCTGGGAGTCCTCCCAACCGCGATCGCCGGCGTGGGATCGCTGGCGACCGGGTAAGTAAGAAAAAAATGGAGGGCGTACTATTATGCCCGGCCGCGTTTAGAGCCGCCTAAAATAGGGCATAATAGTACGCCCTCCGATCTTAAGGGCTAAAGTAACACACTAGCTACACTGAACAAAATTATAAACACAACACTTTTGTTTTTGCCCCCATTTTACATGAGCTAAACTCAAAGATTTAAGACTTTTTCTATGTACACAAAAGGCCTATTTCTTTCAAATATTGTTCACAAATCTGTCTAAATCTGTGTTAGTGAGCACTTCTCCATCAACCTCACAGGTGTGGCATATCAAGATGCTGATTAGAGCGCATTATTATTGCACAGGTGTGCCTTAGGCTTGCCTTGATAGAAGGCCAACATGAGGCTGTGCATTATCATGCTGCAACATGAGGTGATGGTCGTGGATGAATAGCACAAGGATGGGCCTCAGGATCTCGTCACGGTATCTCTGTGCATTCAAAATGCCATCAATAAAATGCACCTGGGTTCGTTCTCCATAACATACCCCTGCCCATACAATAACCACATCGTGATCATGGGCACTTGATCCACAATGTTGACATCAGCAAACTGCTCACCCACACGACACCATGCACTCTGTCTGCCATCTGCCCTGTACAGTGAAAATCGGGATTCATCCGTAAAGAGAACACCTCTCCAAAGTGCCAGACACCATCGAATGTGAGCATTTGCCCACTCAAATCGGTTACAACGACAAACTGCAGTCAGGTCGAGTCCCTGATAAATAAAGGGCTAAAAAAACATACCATTGATTTCTTTGTTTTGTTTTGTAACATTTTAGTATACTGCCTAAGAAATACATGTTTTTTTTTCTGCATTGTTTCTTTGGCCGTATATGAAGAAACAGCTTGCAAAAGCTGCAGACAACATGCCCTTCTCTGTCAGGGAATACACCAATTGTTGGCTTCTCACAGAATCCTCTGTGCGGAGCCGAGGGCATGTGAGCACACATGATCTATGCTTCTCATTGACAAGGGGGGAAGGCAGGCACAAGCTAGCTCAGTGCACCTGACACTTCCGTTGGCTCTGTGGAAATAACACAAGAGGAAGAAAACCTCCTTGGCTGTTTATTGAATTCTGCACTTTTTTTTGTAAACTGTCACAAATAAACTCCAGACAGATAACGCATTTAAAGGAAGACTTTAGTGTCATGATTACAAACATGTATTCCTGACACTATAGTTGTAATAACACTTTTTAGGCTCTCCTGCCTTTAAAGGGTGAATGTACTTACCTTTATTCCAGTGCTGTGCCAGTCTCGTCACGGCTGGCCCTGTCCCGCTCCGCCTCCATGGCTGAGATCATCAAACTTGATGAGCTCAACCAATCCAATGCTTTCCCATAGGAAAGCATTGGGAGGCTTTTGTGCAGCTGCTGCAAAATACTGCTCTGTGCCAATCAGCAGAGATGCATTGAACCAATGCATCTCTATGGGGAGTGTTCAGTGTCTCCATGCAGAGTGTCGAAACTCTGAACGTCAGCAGCACTGACCCTGGAAGCACCTGTAGTGGCTGTCTGAGTGACTGCTACTACAGGTGTTCTTAAGCGGTAATCTAAACACTGCCTTTTCCCTCTTATTAAAAAGCCTGCATGAGTGACTGTACATACCAAAATAAGTTGTAGTTGTTCTGGTGACTATAGTGTCCCTTTAACCCCTTAAGGACCAAACTTCTGGAATAAAAGGGAATCATGACATGTCACACATGTCCTTAGGGGGTTAAGCAAGCTGATTTACCTGCAAAGAATGTAAATTGAATGAAATCAAAATATTAAAAATAATAATAGTGTAACCAAAAGCTAACTTTTAGCTATTAGGTTGTGCTAAAATTGAAGAAATGACATTTCATTTTTGATTGGTGATGCCCAGAAGAAGTTGAAATATATACAGTACACCAGCAGTTGCTAGAACTGCAGCTGCTAGTTCTCTGTAAAATATCGCCATTATTAATAGCAGGAATAGATCAATTATATTTTGCTCAAAATTTTTTTAAATAGTCAAAACCTTGCAAAATATGTTCCTCATTGGGACCTTGACAAAGGTCAAGAAACTTGACATTATTAGTTGAGCATTTCTTGCTTATATTTGGTTTATTGTAAACAAAGACAAAGAAACATTGTATAAAAAAAAACATAATTTAATAATTTATTTAAATATATTAACAAATAAATACAAGTAGATTCAGATAACAAACTTCAAGACTCCGAAAAAAACTCTTTGGTAAGTGCAGCTAATAACTATGCACACTTGTAAATTAAACACAGCTATAAATTACCAATCAACAACACCTCAATTTAATAAATATGAATAGAAATAAAATACACATTAACTGGCTTTGTCAGCAACGATAAACCTTAAAAGGTCAAAAATGTGAAAATGTTCAATAAATATTACTGAAAATGAAAATAATCCTTTTCAAAGTAAAAGGGTCATAAATAATAAGCACAGACTTGTATCCAGATGGCGCTATATTATTTTAACCCATTATAATATTTTAACAGTCTTATACATTTTTTTCATTGGCCATTTATGTTTTAAGGAAAAGCCTTGAGTGTAAATAGAAAAAATGTGCTTTGTTACTTTGTAGCTGGAGCACTATGAAATGGATGGAATAATGTTTTGGGATTTTTATCTCAATTAACCATTTGAGTGACAGATTATTTCTAAATTTAAATCAGTCGTCACGACCGATGGCAATTTAAAAAAAAATTTTTTAGACTTTATATCCATAGAAAAAGTAGTAGAAATGAATGTATTAATTTTAAATCTGGTTATATTTGCCTTGGTGATCTGTTTCTGCTCAAACTTTTTATTAAAATACAAAAAAAGCCACTTAAAAATGCATAAAAGCCAATGTCAGAAATAATCCTGATTTTATAATTAATAAATAAAAATATATATACATGTATTCTATTGCATATTGTTGTTGTTCTTACACGTTACACGCTTAATGAATTCTTCGGAGTGTTTTTTTGCCAGTAAGTGCTATAAAAACAACAACATTGCAACAGTATTATATTATACACAATATAAATATGGAGAATTTCCTTTGTTTTTCTAATATACTCAAACCATTAAATGTATTAAAAGATAAGATAACACACACTGATATTTTACTTTTGGAAAATGTATATTTTTAATTTCCTAGCTGTTAACATAGGGACTTTATTCATTCTACATAGTTGAAGAAAATATTTCTACTTTACCATGAAATGGATATTTTCTCCAAATCAGACATCTGGCTTACTTTTTACAAGATAGCTATTCTCCACTCACGTCTCATTAGTTTATCCCCAAATGATATCAACTATGTTACAAGATTTTAACAACTACATTCAATAGAAGAGTTTTGCTAAATGGATGCCAACATTTGTCCCATCAGATAAACATATATATATCTCTTTTAGTCTTGTGCAAAATTGTGTTTGGAGTGATTAATTAAAAATTTAATTTCTTTTGACCCACACTTATTTATTGAATAAGACTCCACAGGTAAATCCCGGATGCATTGATTTGTTCGATTGTGGATTAGAAATAATTTGAATGGGATGAACTGCTCCAAATTAAATTTTTCACAAGCCTACTTCTTATTTAATGTCACAATCACATTAAGTGACAATAGTAACTTTCTCTTTGTAGATATAGTATTGGATCCTAAACATTATATTTGATTGTGATGATAGAAGGATTTTGCTGAGACCCTTGAAAAGAGTATTATGAAGCTCCATAGAGCTCACAACAAAAGGTTCAACACCATACAGTAAAAGTGACTAGCGGCACCATACCTAAAGAAAATACATGATACTGTAACCATGCCAATTTTAGAATCTAATATGTATCTCGGAATTTAACGAGTACATAATCAATAGTGCAATGCACTCTTAACCGGAATTTCAAATCAAAGTTTTCTTTTCAAGGAGAAGGATATTTTGAAAAATGAGAGATTTTCTTAATTAACAACAAAACCTACAATAGGTAAAGATATAGATATATACAGTAAATGTAATTGATGGGTAATCATCAACCCACTGGAAAAGAGCTATGGTGACGGAGCCAATGACCAACAGTCCTGGGTATCGCTGCTTGTTCCAGGGGATGAATCGCTGCTGTTATCGACAGTCCATTCTTTAAGGTTTGACATCTCTGGCTCAGGTTCGAAAAGGCCCAAAATATTTCCAGGAGAATTTACTCCAACCTTTGTTATTCCTTGATCCCCCAGGATGTCAATGAGGAAATTTATGTATCTCATAGCCAGTCTGAGAGTTTCATTTTTGCTCAGTTTTTTATCTGGAGGATGAGTGGGGATGAGTTTTCTTAGCTCAGCAAAAGCGCTGTTTACATTTTGCTGCCTCCATCTCTCTCTAGTGTTAGTAAAGATCTTGCGTGTCATTTTACCAGTAAGACTCTAAAAAAAATGTAAATATAAAAATTTATACATATGCCTAATGTTAATGACAGCTTGGTAGAAATGTCCACAAATGAAAACCATTTTTCTTAATTTTGAACTAAATCTCAACAAGACTCAATGCACTGTCTAACATGACTTTTATTAATAAAACGTGAATAAAAATTTGTTTCTATAGGGCATCAATGTATACGTGTGTGTGTGTTTTGTGTGTCTGTGTGTGTGTGTGTGTGTGTATATATATATATAGAAACAAAGAAACAGAGAAACATAATGTATTAATTTTTTTAAAACACAACATTTTTAAAAAGTCAGTCAAATTTAAAAATAGATCATTTATATTTTATATAAATTTTCTGAACTATTATATGATCAATTTTATACGTATGTTAGCCAGCTTTAAATATTTCATTTGATATTTTACCTACTTGAATAATTTTAATTATGGGTCAGATGTGTGCTACAATAAATATTACATTTTATTACATATTATTACATGTATTTCATTTATTATTGGTTTGACTAAGCCATATTAAGTAGGGGCCAATGGTGTGTTTTGAAAAATATGATGTATCACTATATTTTTAATATGTGTGTATGTATTATCTGTGTGTGTATATATATGTATATATTTGTAATTCTTTTTTGTAAGACCCCTTCCATTTAATAGCATTATTGGGTTATTACCATTTAAAAAGAGAGAGGAATAAAAACAATATATAAAAAATAGATATAATGTACATGATTTACTTTTATATATTATGTTTGTTACTATGAAAAAGTTAATTTCATATTGTACTTTGAAGTACATAAATTATTTAGGATTGTATTAAATATTTTAATTTACATGGTTTATGATGTAATAAAGTGCATTATTTAGAATTCATTGAGACGATCTATAAAAAAATGAATGTTGTTTGTACTGTATGTTTTGTTTTGTGTGTTTTTTTGTGTTTGTTTTTTACACTTGTGCATTATTTATCCTGTGGTTTATTTAACCCCCCTATCATAACACAATTAAACTACATGGGTGATGTTTTTCACAAATGCCTCACACTTAATGAAAGAATCAGCAGACTGCGTGTGTTCCATAACTATTCTACATTGTAACATTCTGATCATGCTTAGTCACCTTAAAGATTCTATAAACCACTGTGTAAAAATGAAGCATGCACCATCAATACAGCTTTAAAGCATCTCATTATCATGGTATACTAAGTACATACCTAGGCAGCCTTGCAGAGAATGTCTAAATGTCCAGAGTGTAGAGGTAGTGTTAGTTCACAGGAGCCAGTTCTACATACTGTCCTTGCACACTCTGTATCTGTACTCAGGGTGCCCAGTAGTGCTGACAGTGATGAAGTAGTTTGTCAGTCAGTTGGAGTGCCCCACTCTGCTCCATTTATAGACAGCCTGCCCCTTTGTCCGACGCGTGTCACTGCTGGTCCAACAGGGGCTTGATGTTCCATCTCCCGGGAGATCCCTTCCATCATACACCCTGATCCCTCCCCTCACTGCTTTCTGGACTAGCCAAATGCAGGAGGGATAGTTATGGCAGTGGGCTGGGTACTGCAGACACTGTGTAAAACTGTTAAACAATGCGAGAAAAACCAAGGGATAGAATTCTTTTGTTTATAAAAGGGTAAATGTTAACCCATGCAAGGAGGGTCAGGAAACTTCCAACAAAAGGAGAGCCTTAGCATGTTTCATCTTAATGACAATCATCATATGTAGAGCTTGTTACAATGTGACTGGTGTCTTCAAGTAAATATATATATATATATATATATATATATATAAAGCTCACCAGTCATCTTGCTAAGTATTTTCTGTAGAAATACTGCATTTGCTAGATTGAAAGATCATGGGATGGGTTCTCTGTCACTTTTGAATCAGTATGTGCGCATTGCTAATAATACATAATAATGCATATGTGTATAATTATATATACATGCATTTGCTTGCAAATATGTGTACTACTCTAAAAATTTTTATTCTTTATGACATGTAGCCCGATATTGCTTATCATATTTGTACCTGCAAAGACAGATTAAAGAAGGTACTACAACAAACTACTAAAGCTTTTCTTTGGCAATGAAAAACATTGCAGTTTCAAAAAAATGCTTACAGACCTGGTGTGGCTGTCAGACTAAGAAGGCACTTGTGCGTTTGGTTTCAAACAAAGTAGGCTTTGTCTGAATTAAGTGTGATTGGCGGGTCATATGAATTCTGTAACTCTGAAGAGCCATTTGGACATACAATGAACTGATATTTAGACAATGAATGAGCATGTTCGTTTATATCAAGATTGTAGATTCTATCTGTAGCTCCAGAAAAAGATCACAAAAAAAAAAATTAAATCTAATATCTTCAAGTTTAGTGACCTCATGCTCATCATGATGTCACATAATTCTCTTAATGCACCATAGTATTGCATGCATTATAGGTTCCCAATGCTTCTATATGAGAAGCATTGGATTGCACCAAGATCATCCAGCATCATGATCTCATAATTCTCCAAGAGGAGGCTGTCCCAGAGTTGGATTCATGGCCGGTGCAAGCATTTTTGCCGCACTAGGCAAAATAAAATTTGACACCCCATTTTCTCCATGAAGACCAACACACATGCTGACTCAAGTAGACACACACTGACCCATGCAAACTGACACACACGCACGCACTTACCCATGTAGATTGATGCACACTGATCCATATACACACACTGATCCATGCAGACACACACATATAGACACACTGACCCATGCAAACTGACACACACGCACTAACCCATATGCACACACTGATCCATGCAGACCCATACATACAGACACGCTGAACAATGCAGACACAGACCCATACAGCCACACAATGACCCATACAGACAGACATTACACACATGACATAGACACACTGACCTATACAGACACACACAATGATCCATACACACAGACATTACACACATGACATACACACACTGCCCCATACAGACACACTTACTCATACAGACACACACAATGACTTATACAAACAGACATTACACACATGACATACACACACACTGACTCATACAGACACACAATGACCCATACAGACAGGCATTACACACATGACATACACACACACACACTCACCCATACAGACACACACTGCCCCATACAGACACACTTACTCATACAGACACACACAATGACTTATACAAACAGACATTACACACATGACATACACACACACTGACTCATACAGACACACAATGACCCATACAGACATTACACACATGATATACACACACTGACCCATACAGACTGACATACACAAACATACTGACTGAAGCAGACTAACACACGTTCTCTGACACACTTTACCTTCATTGTTGTTAGTTGCCTGCGCCGCCCATCAAGTCCTTTCTCAGCAGATTTCCTGTTATGCTCCCGTCCACTTCTACCCACGTACAGGGGAAGGGGCGGGAGTGAGGAATTAAAGCGCCTTTGTGCTACTGCCAAAGCTGCCACAATGGATGTCTGGGAGGGGGTCCTGGCTGATGTTGATGCCGCCGGACCTGCATTCTACTGGGCGCTAGTGAGCAACAATGTAAGTGCTTCCGAGCGCCCGGTAACATGGCTGGCGGCATGTTCAAAATAATCTAACTTGATGGAGGGGTGGCTGCTGCACAAACTATCATAAAGCCAGGGCTGGTGCCCCCCCTTAAACAGCGGCCCCTAGGGGGGCACCTAATTTGCCTATAGGGAGCGCCAGCCCTGGGTGGATTAGAGATAAATTTAACAGATTTCTTTTTATTATGAAGACACAGGTGTAGGAGCTCACTATAATCAATCAAGAAGAATGGGCTGCAGTAGATCAGCAAGGCTTCCCAAACCTGGTAAAGTGTGCAAATTGTGAAAAAAAAACAAGTAGAGCGAGGTAGATCATTCCTGTTTTTTCTCAATTTTTTTTTTTCACTTTAGAGTTTTCCTTTCATACCATTAGATCCATCCCATGCATTTTCACAGCACATTTTTGTCTACTATGTGTAGTACACAGAAAGTATTTTAACTAATGTCCTACTGGGTATTAACTTAAAGGAACACTATAGTGCCAGGAAAATAAACTCGTTTTCCTGGCACTATAGTGCCCTGAGGGTGCCCCCACCCTCATGGCCCCCCTCCCGGTCAATTTCTGCTTCTTGTGTTTAGCTTCACTGAGCTAACCAAACCAGGAAGTAACAGGAATGGTTGTCTGCTTGAAAGCCAAGGGAGTGTAAACAGTGTCAATTTCTATTAAAATCTGCACGTTTTGCAAAATGAGGACACACTCTTCACACAAAACCTTTCAGCAAGCTAAAGTGCTTTAGGGGTCTAGAGTGCTTTAGGGGTCTAGAGTGTCTCTTTAATTATATAGCACAGCTGTATATATTGTTGTGGGTTCAGGGTTTTAATGTAGTGGGGTGCAGGGTAAATACAGAATGACTTGACGTTAACACAGCTGTTGTGGAGTTCATACATATGGGTTTATATAACACTTGTCTCAATGTTATATATAGAACGTTTTATAGTTGGTCTAAGGCGTTCTATTGTTCCTTGTGTATTAATTATTGAAGCTCCTGTATAAAGATCCATTGGTTAAGTTTTTAAAGGACCACTTACAGGCACCATAACCACTTCATATGAATTAAGTAGATATGTGTGAAGAGTTCTTGGTCGCCTTTTATCTGAATGTATGAATCTTTGTCCCTCCATTTTGTGAAAGGGGAGCTTCTGATAGGCTGAGACTCGATCAGTCACCAAATTTAAAAGGTGTAAACCATGTTAATGATTGTGCGTGTGCGTTTGGTGGAATGTTCTTGTATTTGGAAACTCTGATAGTTTGCTGCCAAAGTCCCAGGGAAATGATGATATAAATTAACAAGCTAGCACTTTGTTTTCCATTTACACTCCACATTTAGGGTTTGTTTCTGTGACTGTCTGATACTGATGGTTGTCTGGTGGGCAGCTGTGTCCTCATCCTCTTGTGTTCCTTTACTCTTTACGGAAGTGCATTTGAGCAGGACCTTCTTAACCTCAAGTGTATACTTGTTAAATAACTCCATTGTACCATTATAAATTGCTGCATAAAATGTTGGCACTATATAAATGCTCATAATACTAATAAATATAATTCAACTGATTCTTCCATTACAAAAGCCGTGCTATGGCCCTTTTAAAATGTAGACTTTTCTTCTGCAATCTCTTCTGTGGTTCAGTTTTATGGCATTAAGCTGACTGGTCTGTTCTATAACAGAACATTTGGTAAACCAGTTTGAAAAAATAAATACAGCAATTAAATTAGATAGCGCTACTAAAGTAACATAAAGAACTGTAGTAAAACTGTAGTAAAAGGAACACTATAATGTTTGGAATACAAACATATTGTCCCTGCCAACATGGTTGAGAACATGCATCTTGATGTTCTCAGCCAATCCAATGCTTTTCCCATAGGAATGCATTGGGAGATTAAGGTGCATTCGCGGCAAAATGCTGTGTGCTCCAATCAGCATTTTTCCGTAGAGATGCATTGATTTCATGCACCGTCTACATGCAGAGCGTGGAGACGTTGAACATAGGTGCTGCACACTGTACAGGAGATAGGAATCACCTCTATTGGCCGTTTGAGTTACTGCTACTAGTGGTGTTACTAAGCAGCAATGCAAAGACTGCCTTTTTTCTGAAAAGCAGAGTTTACATTGAAAAACCTAGGGACAGGTTATAGACAACAGAACCACTACATCAAGCTGCACTGATTCTGATGACTGTGGTTTCCCTGTAAGGAAAATTGTCATAATTTATTACAGAATACAAAAGACTACATGTAATATGTGCCTTGTGCGTATTATTTTGAATGCATGCAATAAGTAATATTATATTGAGCTGTATTATACATTTTTTTTTTTTAAAGATACTATAATTTATAAAATTAAGAGTTTATTATGAAATTCAGTTTAATAAGTAGTATTAAGATCTAGGTCAGGGGTAGGCAACCTATGGCATGTGTGCCATGCACGGCAGTCAAGGTTCTTTTGCACAGCCCTCAAGGTTGCTAGATCCAAAGAGGCTCTGGCCTATCAGGAGTCCCAGTGAAACTTCAGATATCTTGCAATCCGAAAAGGTGGTAAAGGACAATCCTCAATTTACGCATTGCAGTATGTAGAATAAGTGATCTCAGATCAATTCCCCCCAGCACTTGTGAATGGGAATCCACACTGTAGTAGAGCAGCCCTCGGCAGCTATCACAGCTCCTGCCCTTGACATGTATATGGCCAGCCTTGTACCCACTGGTACCCAGGGAAGCCACCCACACTACTAGATATACACAGAGCTGCAGAATAACCCACCCCTCATACAAATAATAGCAGCCCACACAGAAACACAATACCCAATCCACACAAACTCAACACCGCTGACAACAGATATATATGCACACAACCCCACATGCAGTCTCTCACAATACCCCAAACAGCCCCACACAT